ATATGGATTATGAAACTAATCAAGTATTCAATTATCTCTGAAAAACATAGGATAAATGTTCAAATAGAGCTAATTTAATAGAAAATTTTATGAATATTGTCTGGTAATGGCATCTACCTTGTGTACTGTTTAGTAAATATGGAAATTTAAATTCTGTCATTTTTTTTATAGACCACAAATCACAAGCTTATGAAGTAGAGGCTTCTGCATCACACTCCACACCAGCTCCTGAAGAACCTCTGGATTTGGAAGCACCTGAAGATACCCGAATAGACTTTCTGTCAAAAGATTATTCAGGAAGTATTGGACATGCAACACCTCACGGGCGAGGGATCAAGCGTTACAGACGTTCTGGTAACGAACATTATTCATCAATTATTTCTCTTGTGCTTGATTTTTCATTGTAATGTCATGCAGGAGCTCACACTACGGGCCTCGAGTATTTCTTAAATTATTTTTCTTGATTTTATGCACACATCCTGACCTATTATGTATATCAGGGTTAAAATCATAAAAGAAGGGAGGAATATTTTTTTTTCACCAGTCAATCCATTATTCAACTACAATTTGCTAATCTCAGTGAAGAAAAAAAAATATTATCCCCCTGAAATCCTAATCCATTTCAGATATTCATAATCTCGAAGTTGTTCATGTAAAGAACAAAACCACTGGAACTGTAAATATCACAATAGGTATCCCTGAAGCACTGAGCCAAGAATGTCTGACGTTCCTCACAATTTTCATTCGGAAGATTGAGATTTTGACACCATGTAGAGTCAGAATTCTCATTGAAAAAATGAAGGAGCTAATGAACGAATCATGAATGATGTTTTGATCATTCTCTACAACCTCATTCTAAGTGAACCATAGAATTCATGATCACACTAATGAATTTATAAAATTGTGAATAAATTAATCATTGAGATTGGTTACTAAAAATTCTAATAAAATTCATTATTAATTCAATTCTTGACGCGTTTCATTCATTCGCATTGAAGTAAATGATAAATTCCAGAAAATTTTTCTCATCTCTTCATACAGATCTGTTATAATGAGAAAATTAATTTATTACTCTTTCTTTTTTGCAGATAAATTCTTTGCAATATGGAACAGCGGATTCAGAATATCATCTCTAAAAATAGTGGCCTGTTTATTGGAATTGATGTTCCATTTGATGAGAACAAATCAAGTAAGAAGCTAAAAATTTATCATATCAAGGCGGTGATTTACTTTTTGGTGAATTTGTCATAACTATCCCACTGTTTTTCAGACTCTCTATTTTACAGTTGTGATGCACTGTTGGAAACTTAGACACCCCCCCCCC